GTAGGCAGTACAGGAGAGCCAAACCTGAGCAGCAGAAAGGAGAGGAAGGGTGAAAAGCAGCCTTTAACCCAACAGATTCATATCAAATGGAAAAACCAGGAAATCCCCGCGTGCTCCAGACCAGCACCGACCGCAGCGAGGACTCTCAGGAAAAACAGCTTCTTTAGGAAGCATCTAGAAACGTTCATGAAAAGCCAACGCCATGGTGAGTCCAACAGGGAAGATAACCACGTAAAAACATACGTGGTGGCTGCACCGAGTCCACCCCAGACCCAAACCAAGGTAGCCCGCCACCAGCCACAGCCAGCAGCGGAAACTGGGGATATTTGGTGGATATTTACTAGAAAGAAGCCCTTCTGTGACACTCTCCCCAAAATCCCAGCGATTTGTTTTAGGAGTTTCCTGCGGTAGCGTGTGTATCCAGGCCATCAGATGTAGTCACCAGTGGTGGACCAATTCTCCAGAGCCTTGTGATGTTCTTCCCTTGCGGTGCTCAGTATCAGAGACTGGGATTTTTTGGCCTGAACACAGCAATTATTGAGGGAGAGGGAGGAATGAGAGTTCAGGGTAAAATAGTCATAATGCTCAAGAGTTTTAAGACCAGAGAGACCCATCAAGCGATGTTGCAGAGGGAGTCAAAGCTCGTAGGAAAGTCTGGGAAAGGCTACTGGGAAACAGAGGTGAAGGGAAGGGGAATCTGAAGCAACTTGCACCCAAAGGAGCAAAATTAGCAAAATCAGCGCCCGTTTGCAGCCCCGGGGCCGCGCACGCAGGTTACCTCTCGCCTGCAGCAGCAGCTCCAGGCCCTCGCTGCGGGGTGCCGCCTTGTCCACTGTGACGTCGGGCAGGTACACGTTGGCTCCGAAGTCGATGAGCAGCTGGATGAACTCGCTCCTGCAGCCATGCCGCAGGCAGGTTTCCAGCAGAGTCTTGGGCTCCTTGACCTGGGCGATCACCCTCTCCTCCCGGCAGTTGTAGTCGGGGTCGGCGCCGTAAAGCAACAGCATCTTAAAGCACTCCAGGTGCCCGTAGGCGGCGGCGAGGTAGAGAGGGCCAGAACAAGCCGCCGAGTTGGCGGCCCACTCGGGCAACCTCGCTTGGACGTTGGCTTCCGCGCCGTGGTCCAGGAGCTGCCGCAGGATGTCCGCGTCCCCGTCCCTGGCGGCGATGAGTTGGAGATCCTGCCAGCGGGACTGGCCCCCGCGGCCAGGAGGACCTGCACGCATTCCCGGTGGCCGTTGCTGACCGCCATGAAGAGCGGGGTTTGAGCTTTCACGTCCAGGCTGTCCACCTCCGCCCCGTGGGCCAGGAGGACCTTCACGCTCCGGACGCG